CTTAAATACATGAGCCAATCACAGCCCGGCACATGTGCAGTTTAGGGACTACGGCTGATTGAAAGGTTTTCTTCCATAAAATTAATCGATTCTAGACTAATTCGACTCAACATTTCCAAAATACGTATAATTTTTTGGGAATAATCCATATAAACTATGCTATAAACAAAAAATTGTAGGATTACTTACCGAATGTGCACCGTTTGACTACGCCATTGATTAAGCTTGTTTTTGTCGTGGAGCTTGTCATCAAATGGCGCTCGTGTGCTTCTTGATAAATTATTTTTTTTGCAAAAAATTCGCTGAACTTTGGAAACATCATTAATATAAATATAGTTTTTATGGACGTTAAATAATAAATGGTTTTTAGTAGGTCTGCTGCTCGTTTAAACTCAACGGTTTGTGCAATATCTGCTATTGGTCTAGATTCGACCAATTATGTCATGACACAAGTCGGCGATGACGTTTTACTGAATTATAGGAGTTTTTTTAGCATGTTTGTATGAATACTGTCGCAATTTTTTCGCCATGATATAGGAATCCGAACTATAGGAACCCGTGTTATAGGAGGGTCGACTGTACTAAAAATATTATATTTTCAGTTAATATTTAAATGATCAATAAATTATAATTTCACTTACATTATCCTGTAGGATAATGAAGTCACAAAATTATTTGAAATTCCTATTTTATTGAAATAAATTGTTAACTTGATCTCTCCAAACTTAAAGCACACATTTCTGCTACAATCTGTTACTGTCTCATATAGAGTCTCAAATACATACATAAAGTTGAATTTTGTGAGATAGTAAAGGTCAGTTTAGAGACTTAGAGAGGTTGCAAGCTGTTTTTTAAGTTGACAAGAATATTGTCCAGTTTCTAATCAAACTCTGGCTAGTGACTAACTCACTGCACCAAGTTAGTCACTAGCCAGAGTTTGATATTTTTAAAGCTATGTGGGCATTACCAACATTTGGAACATTATCATTTATAAGATAATAAATGTAAAAACATATTTTGAATACATATGAAAACATAATTAATTAAATTGGAAGTAAACTGTTAAAAGTGTATCATCATTGAAGTTTTATTTTAAGTCTGTCTGCAGACCACCAGTCCCATAATTGTGGATTGCAGGTTTAGAATCACTAGTCTAGTTGAATGGAGGATGGTAAACAGCGGAAATCTACAAACATTGCTATTGCAGCACCCCGTGACCTTAAATAATTTTATAGTTGCTTAATTAATTTATATTTTAATCTACCAATATGCTTACTTAGTTCTACTAGATGAGATTTTTCGATTTTAGAGTGAAAATAAACATTTCACCTTATGTAAAATGAATAACTATAAATTGTTATATAACTTTATTGTATCCTTAAATTTAAATGAATTTATTTTTTTCAGCAAATTATTCAGAATGACTTATTGTTTCTGATTTTTATATATTTTCTAATTTAGGTATTTTATTCTCCAGTGGAATGCAAAGTGCCCTATGCTGCTCTTAAGGGTTTACAGATTCGAAAATATTTTGTAATTTTTTTAAGGGACGATATATTTTCTTTAGAATTTACTTTTGAAGTATATTTAAATGAAGAGGCATTTTGTCGACTAAGTTATTCATCTGAACCATATCGCGCCGCTTCAAAAAGAAACATTCAAAGCGTTATGGAATTATTTTATGGAATTACAATTAAGCGTAAGTATTTTTTAAAATCACAAATGTTTAATTTTAGTGAGTTATTCCTTATGTAATTATCTATAAAAGTTATGCTCAATTACATTATTTTAACCAATGATTTAAATTTTATAAATTAATCCATATTTAAAAAATATATTTATACAATAAAATCAATATTTTAATTTACAGAGTAATTAATTGACTTGTTTCCTTATTAAATAATGAACATATAATAAATTATAGTTAAAAATCTTCAAATACTCTGGACAGATGCCTAATAAAGTGGCTTTAATACAGCTGGATGAGCAACCCAATATCATTGGCTTTCTTATCCAGCTTTAATGCTTTATTATTAATTAGAAGCCTTCTAATTAATAAGAAAACGTTCTTTATTTAAGTAACTTTAAACACTAAAAACTTAAACACTTTCAAGCCTTGTTGGCTCATCTTTGGGAGCATAAATTCTTTCAAAAACAAAAATTAAAAGCGTTAGATAAATGCACTCATAAAAATAATATAAAAATTAAAAATTTTAACCTAAAAATAACATTAAATTCTAACATAAAAATTAAGTAAAAAATAAAAATAAAAGTACAATTGTAAATTTTAAATACAAAAATATATTTTAGTGAATGTGGTAACTTGGAGTTTCTCAAAAGTTGCTTTTTTTTTTTTTTACAATGAACTTTCATGATGATGATAGACTGTCCACAACCCTTGCATTAATACATTTATTTGTCATCCAACCTGCTCTTATATATTTCAGTTTTTTCAGCGCCAATGTTGGCAATTGTAAAGTGGTAACTATCTTCACCTTATCCCATTTTACCATAGAGCCTTTACATACATCTGGAATAGTACTGTATTGTAAAGACTTATTTTTACATTATATTGATCTGTTTAAGTGTTTAACTCTCAAGTTTCTTTTAGAGATTCCAATATAATTCTTCTTTATTCTTAATTGCATGCTTTCATGTGGTATCTTGTACACACCTACTTTTTCCTTTTTTTTTAATTCATCTTTGTCACTCTTCAATATACTGTAAATATTGGCACATGTCTCAGCAGCTAAAGGTGTTTGGTGATGATTTTAGTAATTATTCTTTCTGCTGAGTTGGATTTGGTTGTCATCTATTCTGTTTTTAATCAAGATTTTTACTGTTTATCTATGTAAATAAGATAAATTACAGTAGAGTGTCAATTATCTGAATCAATTGGGAACTGGGGTTGTTCGGAAAATCGATATTTCGGATAACCGATTATGTACGAAAAAATATATTAACCTATCCTGTGTTGAAATTTTTCTCTGTTGCGTGTCGCTTTGCGTTGAATTTTCATCTATGTTAAGCCTAACGTAAACTTTTTAAAATAATAATCGTGACTATTGTATCGTTAAAAATTATTTCTTTATTTTGTACAAACAAAATAAATATATTGAAAAATATAAAAACAATAAAAAATTATACTTCAGAAGTTAATTTAGTATCAAAAACGTAAAATATTTGAGTAGCCCAAGACATAGCCAAAGATTGCAGCGCCACAGCACTGGCAAAAATTTAAATTTGCCGACTGGAATTCTTTTGAATAATTGACTTTCGGATAATCGATGCTCTACTGTATTCTAATAGAATAAATTTTTTCTTTTTTTTTAGAATATCCAGAATCAAATGTTAACAAAAAAGAAAATATCGAAGAACTTTACTGTTTTATTTCCAATATTCAATTAAAGAATGATAAGCTGGAGAAGAATGACGTTCAACATAAATCTTTAATACCAACATTGAGACCATATCAAGCGAATGCAGTTAGATGGATGTTAAAACAAGAAAGTAATCTTAATAAACTTCACTCTCAAGGGATTTGTCATTCGTTATTTATGAAGATTTATACTCAAGATAAAAAGCTTATATATTACAACAGATATGGTGGCTTGTAAGTATATTTTTTATTTTAATTAAATTAAAAGCAAATATCATACATCCAGTAATTATACTTATCTCATATAAAATAATAATTGAACTGGCAATTATCCATTTTTGTAGTTGGATAAAAGAAATCAAATGAATAAATGTTGACTTGATGAAGATTGTATTTGCATTTCAGTGTTAATTGTTTAGTATTATCAAAGTTAGATCTATTCAATAAATCTTACCATCTTACCAAAGATTTAGACATAAATCACCAGAAATTTGTAATTTTATCTGATAATTATTTCATGATATATCATACAGTAAATTGAATCATTGTACAGTATTTAGATTTCATAATAATTGAAATTCAGTTTAACATTGAATTATTGTATTTAATATTAAGATCTAAACAAGTAAAAAAACATTTATTTATATATTACATAAATTTGCAGCAGTGATAACTTTGACTGTTAAATCATTCATATTTTTCCTATAATGGTATATTTATTTGAAACTAATTTCTGCAATCTGAAAATTTTCTCTGAAATATTCCATATTGTTTGTGCATTTTTTTTAAAGTTCTTAAACTAAGAATAAATTAAGTTTAAGTTACGTTATAAATTTAACAGTTTAGTGACACATTCAGAATATGGAAAGATTGAACATTTCAATTATAATTAAGAAAGTTGCAAAATAAATAATATTTCATTAGCATAAGACAGTTGTTCTCAACCTTTCTGAGGCCATAGAACATTATTCATTTACCTTTTGTTACACAGAACTTTAGCATTAATGTATTAAAAAGTCAATAAGCAATTCTGTATTTACTATTCTCACAAAACAACAAAGCAGTAAACTGATAAACTTTATTGTCTTGAATAAAATAATAGATATGGAATTGTATATGAATAAAGTAATATGTTGTAATAAATTGAATAAATTTGCACTAAAAATTTTAAACGTTTAACAATCCTTGAAGAACCTTTATGTTCGGTAACAAAAATGTTTAATAAATCGTCCAACAAATGCTTTGTTGGACGATTTATTAAACGGACATAAAGGTTCTTCAAGAGTTGTCATCAGCACTGGTAATTAAGTTGGAAGATATCTTTAATTTAAAAGCTTTTTTCATACAATACTCTGGACAAGTTTGCAGAATACTGTTTGACAATCATTGGCTTAAGATGTTATAAAGTAATGTATTATTTTTCTACATATTAATGTGGCAGTTATATTATTAATCTTATGATTACATTACTACAATACAAATGGTACTTGATTTATATTGATGAACAGTATATGTGATAGCTTCAAGTGTGTAAAAAATTGAGAATTATATTATTTTAATCTACAATGAAAGAGATAAATAAGTAGTATAAAGTTTTGTACACATATTTTCTCAAATTCCACTTGAATCTTCTGATTTTATCTTTACTCAAATTACTTCAGTATCATGCAACCTCATAAATAAAATAAAATGTTAAAGATGATACAAAAATAATACTCATGGTTCTGCGTATGAGATGAGGTATTTGCAGAAGAGTGCATGGCATGACGAGGAGAGACTGTGTGAGAAATGAACAAGTGCTGAAGGGATGTGAGGTGAAAGAGAGCATGGTTGAAAAGGTGGAGAAATCCACTGTACCATGGTTTGGACACATTGAGAGAATGAAAGGAGAACTGTTGAAGAGAGTATACATGGGAAAGGTGGATGGGAAGAATGGTAGGGAAAACCAAGAAAGTCTTGGTTGGAATAAATGGATGAATATCTGAAAGAAACATAAGGTGTTGAGTCATAAAGCACATGTGAGGAAGTGTGCTAGAAGAGGCATGAGTGTGTCTGGACAGGAAAGTGTAGAGAAAGTTTGTGAATGGATAGTTTGTAAGATTGTAGTTTCCTTTTTCCTGCTGTTCATCCTTTTTGGATTATGAATGTAAGGTTATGTATGTATGTTATCTTGTCAACATAAATAACGTTATTACAAAGACACTCATGTAGGGTTTATTTAAATTTAGCATCATTTGTTACATTTAAATGTTATTAAATAATGTAATATATTAAGCGATCGAAACTATAACTTATATTCGAAAAAAAGTGGTGTTACACAAAATTAGGGTTCAGTCAAGCACCATGCCTGGACTTGGGTGACAAGTTTAATTCCCATGACTTAACAGGAAAAAAATCGAATATATAGGTAAGCAAAAAAATTCACAATAATATTTATTAAGTTGAACTATAATATATAAACAACAAGAACTATGAACAAGAAGTTAGTAGTTCAAAACTACTAACAACAAGTCAAAATCGATTATGTACAAGGAAAAAACAACAGAATCAACAAAAGTATTTTTTTTTTAAACACAGGACATACAACTATAATTTAACCTCCAACAGTATAAACTAAATTTAAAAACAATGAATACACCTCTTACAAGTTAAGAACTTAACCATCACCAAAATACTTTCAGACAGTCATCTTTTATCTGGCTTAAGAAGTGTAATGCTGCACNTTTAACAATCCTTGAAGAACCTTTATGTTCGGTAACAAAAATGTTTAATAAATCGTCCAACAAATGCTTTGTTGGACGATTTATTAAACGGACATAAAGGTTCTTCAAGAGTTGTCATCAGCACTGGTAATTAAGTTGGAAGATATCTTTAATTTAAAAGCTTTTTTCATACAATACTCTGGACAAGTTTGCAGAATACTGTTTGACAATCATTGGCTTAAGATGTTATAAAGTAATGTATTATTTTTCTACATATTAATGTGGCAGTTATATTATTAATCTTATGATTACATTACTACAATACAAATGGTACTTGATTTATATTGATGAACAGTATATGTGATAGCTTCAAGTGTGTAAAAAATTGAGAATTATATTATTTTAATTTACAATGAAAGAGATAAATAAGTAGTATAAAGTTTTGTACACATATTTTCTCAAATTCCACTTGAATCTTCTGATTTTATCTTTACTCAAATTACTTCAGTCTCATGCAACCTCATAAATAAAATAAAATGTTAAAGATGATACAAAAATAATACTCATGGTTCTGCGTATGAGATGAGGTATTTGCAGAAGAGTGCATGGCATGACGAGGAGAGACTGTGTGAGAAATGAACAAGTGCTGAAGGGATGTGAGGTGAAAGAGAGCATGGTTGAAAAGGTGGAGAAATCCACTGTACCATGGTTTGGACACATTGAGAGAATGAAAGGAGAACTGTTGAAGAGAGTATACATGGGAAAGGTGGATGGGAAGAATGGTAGGGAAAACCAAGAAAGTCTTGGTTGGAATAAATGGATGAATATCTGAAAGAAACATAAGGTGTTGAGTCATAAAGCACATGTGAGGAAGTGTGCTAGAAGAGGCATGAGTGTGTCTGGACAGGAAAGTGTAGAGAAAGTTTGTGAATGGATAGTTTGTAAGATTGTAGTTTCCTTTTTCCTGCTGTTCATCCTTTTTGGATTATGAATGTAAGGTTATGTATGTATGTTATCTTGTCAACATAAATAATGTTATTACAAAGACACTCATGTAGGGTTTATTTAAATTTAGCATCATTTGTTACATTTAAATGTTATTAAATAATGTAATATATTAAGCGATCGAAACTATATTCGAAAAAAAGTGGTGTTACACAAAATTTGGGTTCAGTCAAGCACGATGCCTGGACTTGGGTGACAAGTTTAATTCCCATGACTTAACAGGAAAAAAATCGAATATATAGGTAAGCAAAAACATTCACAATAATATTTATTAAGTTGAACTATAATATATAAACAACAAGAACTATGAACAAGAAGTTAGTAGTTCAAAACTACTAACAACAAGTCAAAATCGATTATGTACAAGGAAAAAACAACAGAATCAACAAAAGTATTTTTTTTTTAAACACAGGACATACAACTATAATTTAACCTCCAACAGTATAAACTAAATTTAAAAACAATGAATACACCTCTTACAAGTTAAGAACTTAACCATCACCAAAATACTTTCAGACAGTCATCTTTTATCTGGCTTAAGAAGTGTAATGCTGCACTATCCTATTTACATATTTCTGAGCGTTACAGGATCAGTCACATATGCAAGTGAATGTTCATTTTTAATATTAAATTTAATTTATTTTGGGTGTTTTGGGAGTTTCAGTCCTCAAAACATAATAAAATGTCCTGAAAAGAAAATAGTAATAACTAAAAATATTGCCCAAAATATAAAATAATGATCGGACTTCTATTTCTTACAATAAGAATCCATGTATTTCTGGAAATTACTTTACTATCAATTGTACTTTCATAGAAATTTGAAATTTTCAAATTACCAATAAATGGTGTGAAATAATTGAAATCTTTAATAACCAGCATTAATTTTTTTTAATTTAACAAATATTTTTGGCCTTTTAAAAAAACATCATTTTGCCTTGTGTATTATATATACTTCCTAATGAAAATAAATAATACAGTCAAATCTCTAGTTTCGAACTTAATTTGTTTCTAAAAGTTGTTCGAAAACCAATTTGTTCTAAACTGAAACAAATTTTCCCATAAGAAGTAATGTAAAATGGATTAATCTATTCCCAACCCCCAAAACAAAACCTTTTTTTTAATCTTTTTAGCTGTATTTCATGAAAAAAATGCCTATAAAGGCAATACGGTAGTGTGTTGTTTATTCGAAAGGTGGTCAACCGTAACGTCAGTTAACCGGAAGCATTCCAGTTGGCAAATTTAAATTTTCGCTAGTGCTATGGCGCTGCAACCTTTGGCTATATCTTGGGCTATTCCAATATTTTTTGGTTGGTATGTGTGTGTGTGTGTTTTAGCTGGCAGCACTGGCACTTTTGTATGGTGTTTTTTTGAGGACTGTGTGTCGTGCTGAATCAAACGTTTTTGATACTACATTAACTTCTAAACTATAAATTTTTTTGTTTTTACATTTTTCAATGTATTTATTTTGTTTGTACAAAATAAAGAAATAATTTTTAATGATACAATAGCCACGATTATTATTATAAAAATTTACGTTAGGCTTAACATCGACAAAAATTCAATGCGAAGCGACACTCAACAGAGAAAAATTTCAACATGGGATAGGATAATATATTTTTTCATACATAATTGGTTATCCAAAAAATAAGTTATCTGAACAACCCCAGTCCCCAATTGATTTGGATAAACAGCATTCTACTGTATAATATTATATATAACATTAGTTTAACTATATCTATACCTATATTTATTCTATATATGTGTTAAAAGCAAAATGTTCCCTCATCACCAACTGAAATCAAAACCAAAACTAGCATTTTACACAGAATTTCTATAAATAGAGACTCCACTCTGACTACATGCATGAAATATAATTAAATCAATCAAGACCAACAGCAAGTACTTTATCCATACTTTCTGAAACATTGTGTTTCAATTGATTTGATTTTAATTTTAATTTAATTTTATTTTATTTTTAGTTTCAGTGTAAGGAAACAATTTTAATTATTATTTTATTATTTTTAGTTTATTTAACTGGCTACCTAGTATTAATAAATATTAATATTATAAATACATTTTTGTCATTTAATTTAACTTAAGTATATTTAAACACAAATATTTGAATGTCATTTATATTATCTGAATATCAATTAATGCAATTTTTATTAAATAATTTGATTTAAATTCAACTGTGGCCCCTACTGAAACACAGAAATAGTATCTTTCCTGCATGAGTATTGAAATGTAAGTTAAATAGCAATGTTATTGATGACTTATATCATATTATGAGGTGATCTTGGCACCACTAACTTTAGAACCGGTAGTCCCGTCATTGATTGGTTGAGTTGTTGACTTTCTTTAGCATAGGAAATTGACCATCGGTGGTCTGCTCTGCCGAGAAGTTTGTTCATCAACCGAGTGATCGAACAGCAACCAGGGCAAATATGGCATTCAAAATTTTGTTTGTAAACCAAATTGTTCAAAAAGTGAAGCATTCGAAAACTGAGATTTGACTGTATATTTAAAGGAAGTATGTGTAATGCATAAGGCACAGTGATATTTTTAAAAAGCCAAAAAACTTGTTATATTGATAAAATTAGTGCTGGTCAGTAATAGCATCTATTATTTAATACTAATATTCAGTTTGGGATCTTTTTGAAGGGCTTGAAAATTTAGAGTTATTAAAAATTAGAAATATATAAACCTGTTGATATCTGCTTAAATAGAAATTGTTAATTAAAAATATAATCAGTATTACTATGAATTTTATGCCACAAAATTTAACATCAACACCATATAATAACAACAACAAAAATACAGTATTTTGTATGTATTGTTCTTTATGCTAAATGTAAGTTCAAATCCACAGTGATCATTAGTACTGTGTATCTAAATTTGCACCTAGAAACCTATTTATTACGAAGTATTGTGGGAAACTTATGCTATATTAGTTCTTATGCACTTTCAAATACTAATACTATGTGCTGCAACTATTTACTGTTAAATATCAAAGTAATTTGAACGTTTTCTGTTGAATGCACTTATAAAAGGTTTGAAAAAGTAGCTTAGTGTTGATATCTAGGCCTTTTACAGGTATAAATGATAAATTTTTGAAATTATTAACTTGCTTGGCCAAAGCCCTCTATCAGGCCCTACTGAACAAGAACAAAATCTACCATTGAAAAGGTCAGATCAAACTAGATTATACGTGGTTAATCACCTTTTTGTTTCTCAACTGGTTTTTGTTTGGTAGTTAACTTGATTGTCTGTTATGTGTCGGATAATTTAAGGTTTTTATTATATTTTGGGTAATTATACAGTTGACCCGTCTATAACACTGTTGATAATTTTGTTTTATATAAATTCCATGTTGTATGAGTCACTTAGATTTTACAAATATGTGTGCCAGTCTGTGAACGGCTCATGTATTTGTAAAATCTAAGTGACTTGTACAACATGGAATTCATATAAAACGAAATTATCAACAGTGTTATAGGGGGGTTGGCTTGTAATTGGGTAAATTTACACGTTTAGATCAAATTAGAATTTTCCACTTAATAATGGCATTCATTTTCATTTATGAATTTATACCTAACAATATCCAGGGAAGAATAAGATTTGCAAACCAGAGAGGATGAGTTTATATTTCATCTGTGCATTCTAAGAAATTAATAATCTGTTTTTAAATAATTTTTTTTTTCCTTTTTATTTAAATCCCATATTTTATTTCTGACAAACTTTTATTTATTAGAATATACCCTTTATTAAATTATCATTAAAATTAATTAATGTATTTTGTTTTAGTTTTACTTGTGAAGAACCTAAAATTACTTATCAACCTTCTGGTGGCATTTTAGCTGATGAAATGGGTCTAGGAAAAACTGTTGAAGTTTTAGCATGTATATTATGGAATCAGAGAAATTTAAAAACTGATGATGAAGTTGAAACAGTGAGTATTGTTTTTCTTTTTTTTTAATTGCCAAATACAATACTAATTTTACTGTATTTAATGCTTTTTACTTTTCCTTTCCTGGCTGTTATAACATAACATATAAACTTCTTAACTACACCCAATACATTGCAATAATTACATCTTCAATTGCCATATATCATTGGGCTATAATTTGTTAATAATAATTATAAATTACTAATGAATTTGACCCTAGCAGGAAGCATTAGGCACCATCTCATATTAAATTTAATACAAGATGGCACCTAATGCCTCCCAAATTACCAAATTATAGCCTAATGATATACAGCAGTTGAGTTAGTTTGTTACAGCAGGTGTGTTATTATAACTTATCACGGGAAAGTATTGGGTAATTGGGTTAAATTTGACTCTAGATTTTTTGCAAATCTTGATATTTACAAAATACCCAGAGGGCTTTCTCCTGGTTTTAGCAAATATCACTCATTACATCACTCAGTCGTGCAACTACCTTTCTTTATTATGCTAAAAAATTTAATTTAATTCTGTTTACAAGTAAGCCAGATGTACCATTATCTTGTGATTATTAGATTAATGGTACTTCATCCAAAATTAATTTTACTAAGCGTAACTATACTGATAACATTTTTAGCAATTAATATGATAAAATTTTCATTAAAATACATGAAAAGTTTTGCCGATGAGTGTAAAAAATAAAAATTGAATTTACAAACACAGTTTTCTTACTTTTCTCTTTTTAAATTACATAATGAATAGCTTCATCTATACATGCAATTTACAAGCAGTAGAAAGTTTTTATCATCTTAGATTATTAATGTCGTTTGTTTGGGACTATTAAGTCTTATATAGATGCATATCTAATAAAAATATAAAGCTTAATTAGTCAAACCATCTTGGAATCTTTTTGTGACTTACTGAGTGTTAGATATTTCGTTGGAACTTAGTACATTGCTTTATTTTTCTTCTTCTTGTAAACATTGAAGAGTGATCACCAATGAAAAGAAACCTAAGTAAAGTCATTATTTTGCAAAGAAGATAATTGGTTTATCTTCTTATATTACTCACTTAATTGAAATCATTTATCCATTACTCTAATCCAAAGAAAGTCCCTTATCTTTTGTTTTAAATTTAGTGGTAGGATGGTCGAAGCAGTAAAGGCATTAGTTTGAGGTCTCTGGTTTCAATCTGGACTGGAACCTTCAACCAGACACTTGAAAATTTTTGAGTTGTCTACAGCAGTGCTCCGCAACCTTTTTCTACTTGCGGCACACCCATGACTCGACATGTCTCAACACGGCACACCAAAATGTTATTCCTCTCAAAAGCGTATGATATGATACTATTAATAGAATTATGTAATGCCACTAACCTATTATTATTATTAAACAGACATCAACACCCATGAGCAAATTTATTTTACATTTAATTTCTTAAAATATATAAAAATGCGTGGCTTGTAATAAAGAATAAACAAACATCATATTTCATGAGTGCTGCAGCACTTATGAAATAACATTTGAAATACAAACATAAGAAACACAGCAATTGTGATAAAAATATTGTATATAAATAAAACTTGAAATTAATAGAATATGTAAAAGTTCATGTCACATCTTTCACCTAGTGAGGGCACACCGATAGGTCTATAGGATGGTCTAGACCAGCGTTTCTCAAACTTTTTGCTCACATGGCCTGATATATTTGTTTGTAATGGTTCTGTGACCCAAATGCTTATAATACAGTATAAAATTTTTAAAAACCTGGTAAACTGGAGTCACTGTATACAATGAACTAAAATTATGCATTATTGATCATAATTTCTACATATGAAATGTAACGTTGAGTACATTTCTATTAATAGTGATTCAGACCAATTTCTATTTGTAACATATAACTTACTTCAATTTCAGTTTCTATTATTGAAATCTAACTATTAAAAAATGTAAGACTGATGAATGTAAATAAAACAGACTATTTGAAAATTATTCAAATGTCTATTTTACTCTGAAAAATATTATTATAAGTTTTTTTTATGAACTTAATGAATCCTCCAATATTTGTTAACTTGGAAAATTTAAGAGAGAAAATAATTGAATGATAAGAACAAGCAGGTCTGAATATTTAGTTCATCTGTTATTTATTTTTTATAATTTATTGTTATATATGACAATAAACCTAAAAGTTTGAATAAAGAAGAAAATATTTTCAAAACCATTGCAATTTAAGTGGCTTTATGACTATGAACTTACATAAAATACTGTATCTATTTTGATGTCATTTTACACACATTCTATAATCTTAATTTTATTACTAAATGATAATAATAATTATAAGAAAAAAGTTGTTAAAAATTTTCAGTGTTTAACAGATTCGTCTATTGTTCTTTGTTCTTAGAGAATATTTCAATAATACAAGTACAGATATCCCTTGCTTTATGTGGGATTTGGTTAATGTGTGAAATTAATTACGGCAATCCCTTTGTATACGTGGCAGAAGTTTTAATTAATGCAGCTATACGAGCTGTCTTTACTTAACATAGATACCATATTTGATTAGTATGATTTTGATATATGTGTTAGAATTGAGGGATTAATTAACCACATTAATCAAGGGATACCTGTATTACAAGTATTTCTGTGGAAGGTAGTATCATTTTGCAGTCCATTAAAATTTTTTATGCAACCTATAGTTTGAGAAACACTAGTCTAGACCCTCTAGTTTACTTCCCAACTGCCCATATGAATCATTAGGGAAATGAAAATAGGCTCTCTTAGTTCCCATAGGGTATAAAGTTTTAAAAAATATTTATATATTGTTTCTAATGTTTTGGTGTTTTCATAAAAAAAAATAGAAAATTATTTAATTATTTATTAGAGTTTATTTTTAATTTAGATTTCAGATGAAACAATAATTTTAGACAAAGAAGATATATTGAGTGATATAGATTCTACCGACTTTCAAGACATTATTATAAAGAAAAGAAAATCCAAGCGTGAAAAGAAGAGCATTTGTAAAGATGATGATTATACTGAAATTAATGGATTTGACAAACTTGAATCAAATCATGAATTTCTAGAGTGTTTGTGTGGTGCTTTAGAGAATGAATTTGAATATAAAGTGAAATTACAGTGCGAGAATTGTGGACTCTGGCAACACTTAGAGTGTATAGAAAAGAAATATCATCCAAATTATAATGCATTAGAGAAACATTATTGTCCTCATTGTTGGGTGTTACCATCAATGGTAAGATATAGTTTTTTTAATATATTAATATAATTATTTTGAAACTATTAATATAGGATCTTCCAAAATGAATTCTACCATTTTAAATTACTGTAATTATGTTAATTATTACCTAAGAAGTGTGCAATGTATACCAATCAATAGAGAAAGTGCAGAGTTTCATTTACCATCTGCATACAAATGTCTTTTTGTGTGTTGCCTCNAGTTTTTTTTTATGAACTTAATGAATCCTCCAATATTTGTTAACTTGGAAAATTTAAGAGAGAAAATAATTGAATGATAAGAACAAGCAGGTCTGAATATTTAGTTCATCTGTTATTTATTTTTTATAATTTATTGTTATATATGACAATAAACCTAAAAGTTTGAATAAAGAAGAAAATATTTTCAAAACCATTGCAATTTAACTGGCTTTATGACTATGAACTTACATAAAATACTGTATATATTTTGATGTCATTCAAACTAGAAAAGAGAAATAAATTTCATATACACACATTCTATAATCTTAATTTTATTACTAAATGATGACAATAATTATAAGAAGAAGTTTGTTAAAAGTATTCACACACATCTATTCTTAGTTCGTAGTATATATGACAATAAACCTAAAAGTTTGAATAAAGAAGAAAATATTTTCAAAACCATTGCAATTTAAGTGGCTTTATGACTATGAACTTACATAAAATACTGTATCTATTTTGATGTCATTTTACACACATTCTATAATCTTAATTTTATTACTAAATGATAATAATAATTATAAGAAAAAAGTTGTTAAAAATTTTCAGTGTTTAACAGATTCGTCTATTGTTCTTTGTTCTTAGAGAATATTTCAATAATACAAGTACAGATATCCCTTGCTTTATGTGGGATTTGGTTAATGTGTGAAATTAATTACGGCAATCCCTTTGTATACGTGGCAGAAGTTTTAATTAATGCAGCTATACGAGCTGTCTTTACTTAACATAGATACCATATTTGATTAGTATGATTTTGATATATGTGTTAGAATTGAGGGATTAATTAACCACATTAATCAAGGGATACCTGTATTACAAGTATTTCTGTGGAAGGTAGTATCATTTTGCAGTCCATTAAAATTTTTTATGCAACCTATAGTTTGAGAAACACTAGTCTAGACCCTCTAGTTTACTTCCCAACTGCCCATATGAATCATTAGGGAAATGAAAATAGGCTCTCTTAGTTCCCATAGGGTATAAAGTTTTAAAAAATATTTATATATTGTTTCTAATGTTTTGGTGTTTTCATAAAAAAAAATAGAAAATTATTTAATTATTTATTAGAGTTTATTTTTAATTTAGATTTCAGATGAAACAATAATTTTAGACAAAGAAGATATATTGAGTGATATAGATTCTACCGACTTTCAAGACATTATTATAAAGAAAAGAAAATCCAAGCGTGAAAAGAAGAGCATTTGTAAAGATGATGATTATACTGAAATTAATGGATTTGACAAACTTGAATCAAATCATGAATTTCTAGAGTGTTTGTGTGGTGCTTTAGAGAATGAATTTGAATATAAAGTGAAATTACAGTGTGAGAATTGTGGGCTCTGGCAACACTTAGAGTGTATAGAAAAGAAATATCATCCAAATTATAATGCATTAGAGAAACATTATTGTCCTCATTGTTGGGTGTTACCATCAATGGTAAGATATAGTTTTTTTAATATATTAATATAATTATTTTGAAACTATTAATATAGGATCTTCCAAAATGAATTCTACCATTTTAAATTACTGTAATTATGTTAATTATTACCTAAGAAGTGTGCAATGTATACCAATCAATAGAGAAAGTGCAGAGTTTCATTTACCATCTGCATACAAATGTCTTTTTGTGTGTTGCCTCTAGGAAGTGCTCTAAACAAAAATAGCAACTCTGCACAGAGAAGACTTTCTGTGTTTTGTAGTCTGCAAACTCAGAATCAATCATGAATTTTTTGCAGAATACAAAATGCTTCCTCTGTTGCAGAGTTGCCATTTGTGTCTATGGTGCATCCTAGTTGTTGTAGACAAAAATTTATATGCAAATGGTAAATGAAACTCTGCATTTTCTCTATTGATTGGTATACATCGCATACTTATTAGGTAATAATTAACATAACTACAGTAATTTAAAAAGGAAGCATTCTTTTTGGAAAATCCTATATCTGTGGTACAGAAAATATTTATTGTTACAAATACATGATTATATAGAAAGAAAACAGATTAAATTTAAATGCTAAAGCATGATATTTGGCTTATTTTTATAAATAAAGTGATAGATTTTATTTTATTTTAATATTTTAGTTTGTAGTCGAACCTAGGCTATGAATTTAAAAACTATTTTTCTCACTAAAATTAAATGAAAATAAACTGTACTGATCTTAAAATGTTTTTAGGGACTCTATACCTCACGAGCGACGTTAATAGTTACGCCAACTTGTATAAAATATCAGTGGGAAGAAGAAATAGAGAAACATGTTAAACAAAAATCATTAAGAGTTCTTGTTTACTATGGAGTTCATTCACAGTTTATACCTCCTCCTGTTTTAGCTGATTATGATATTGTATTAACAACGTATAGTGTGCTTCGTCGGGAATTAAATTATGTTGATCTTCCTCATTCAAATGGTAAGTTTTAACTACCAGCTACTCTTTTAATTTCATTTTACAGTTAAATAACTGATTCTTTATATATATATTTTAACTGCATGAAATTGGATCTCAAACTCAAAGTAAAAAGTAAAAAAGTCTTTAATGCCTGGTAGAAATTCACTAAGAGACAAACACTTTCAACTGTTTTAAGTATTAATCCTCAAGCTTAAACTGAGAAAACTAAATAAATGTTAAGTAACAAATCAGAATATTATGTACAGTACTGTGAATTTTCAGATTTTATATAAAAAATTTGGCATTAAGAATATCAATTAAATTATGGAATTTGGCTTAAAAATAGGTAGTTATGTGTTAAGATTAATGATTAGTAATTAATTTAAGTAATTTAGAAACTTCTAGAAGAAATATAGATCCAGAGTTGAACTCAAACCTGTGCCTTCTGCTTCCCGTACAGATGTATTTATTGGTTGTATGCCTTGAACTCTATTCCAGCTTCATTTTCAGACATACATTAATTAGAACTACACTTGTAACCAAAATGTTTTACACCATTGTCACACTGAACTGGCACATAATGCTCAGGTATGAGACAAGTATCTCTCTGTTTTTCCATTACATCAGGAGGTAATTTTGTAGATTTATATAGGTCCTTGATCACAGCTTTGCTGAAATTGGTATCAGCTTGAATAATGGCATTAATTTATTCCTCGCAGTTGTACAGTTGATCTTAGTACATCTGTACTTCTCAAAGATGACAAATATTTTCAATGATGCTTAGATCTGGATTTCCCATAGGTCAGTGCGGAACATTCACATTGTTTGCGTGAAAGTTTCAGATGACTCATCTGGCTTTATATCACGCTGCAAAATCCATATTTTGTGTTTAAATTGATCCATGGAAGAAAGATGTGCTGAAAGTCTTTCAGATAAGCACTGCTGTTATGTTTCTGATTGACAACTTTAACTTTGGGATTTCACAAAATTTTAACACTTACAATATGCTGACTTGCTTCAGAAATTTATGGTTGGGTGTAGTTTGGGAGTTATTTCGGTCATTCAAAGAAAATTGCTTTTCTGTTACATTAAAATCAAATACCCTTGAGAAATGGTGCCAGGCAAATTCCAGGCATTCTTGTTTGCGGTGGTCATACGCAGTTTTTTTTAATATCTTGCAGTTACTAAAACCTCCTGTTGCAGAATCAGGTGCACAGTCTCTTGGATCTCCTCCATCCCAAATTCGACTGCATATATACGTGACCACTCACACATGAACAATAATTAGTGATCATAGTGGTTTCTATGTCTATCCATAAGACATGGGTATCCATAATCCTGACGTGGCATCAACAAAGTAGTGCTGATTCTTCAGTCAAGTGGAATGGAAGCATAGGGTGCACTTTGCACATTATCACAGCAACAAATAAAAAATTATTTTATTTAATTTGAACAAATATTGGTATTTCAAGTCAAATTTATTTACTCATAAAGTGTATTGTTAATTTGGCTAAATTTTATACATAATTGAATTCTTATTTGAGTATATTTTTAAAGATGATTCCGGAAGAAGATTTCGTAACCCAAAAAGATTCATGACGATTCCTTCGCCATTACTGTCGATCGAATGGTGGCGCATTTGTCTGGATGAAGCACAAATGGTCGAAAGTACGACGACAAAAACTGCTGAAATGGCCCAGAGATTGACATCTGTTCACAGATGGTGTGTTACTGGTACTCCTATACAGAAAAGTATAGATGGTAAAATATTCCGACTTGATTTATTTAAGTTAAATTTTTAAAATATTTAAAATTAATTCAAAATAATTGCCTTGAAATTTCAAAAGTTCTGTTTGATTTTGTTAAAATTAATGCAATTTTTCAGACTTTTCAAACTGCACTTAAATTTAAAGAACTTTTCTTAGTTTTATATATCAAATATTGATTTTGATATATAAAACATAAAAAAAAAAAGATTGATTTTATTGTTTGACATTTATTCAAAAACAGTTGCATGTTCCAAATAGTAAATTACTGCATGAAAGAATAGTCTATACCAGGGGAGGCAAAATCTTGTCATGATAGGAGCCATACACTGCCTGTCAAAAACACTTGAAAGCCACATCCTCAATTGGAATGCTTATTGGAGAGCCACTTCATCTATTTATATTATAAAATACTATAGTTATCGTTGTTTTATAGTAAATATCACTGTTACTTTTCTTTATTTATTGTAATTAATGACTGACTAGTTAAACAATCGTTTAACTCCTTCAATATTATAAATGTAACCTAAACTTTTCATTGTCTGTTTGAGGTTAAATTGTGAGTTACGTTTACATTCTCTACATATATCGCACTAAGTAATGGTCAACAAACTTCCAAAAATATTGTGAGTAAGAAGTATGTACCAAGTTTATAAAAAGAAATTGTATAAGGGTGCCACAATAAGGATCTAGAAGAGCTGAGCCTCATTGTGGGCCTATACTAATGGTTTACAATTTACTTTTTGAAGTTGTTACCCTAAATAGCTTTTTTTGATGTGCTTGACAAGCTAATTCCCAATAATTTATTGGATATCGGAATCTTTCAACATTCCTAGAAGCTTGTGTCATTCCAAGATGTCCCAAAAACCTTGCAAAAACCATCATTCTGTACCTAAATTCTGTTTCTGGACAGAAGATAATTGGGGCAGTTGATCTTTAATATATTACAGAAGATTTTGGAATGATATTTTCTTAAATAATTTATATTAGAATGACAATACATTGATTAAAAATCTAGAAATTTGATGTAATTTACTTAAATGCAAATCAGATTTAATTACATTTACCATATAAATATGTATATCCAATTTTTGACTTAATAAACACTGTTATATCCTTTATTTTTTAAAAAATTGCCAGGACAAATTCACATTTACAAAAAAATATATTTCTTGTTAGACTATACATACCACTAGAGGACTTTTTAACTTTTTTGCATTTAGTGGTGGACAAGTAGCCTACAATAAAAGGTTGACTCCGTCATGGAACTGTTATTGCCTTAATAGCATGTGAAAGGGTCGAATGATATGGACTCATCTTGTATGTATAGTCTAACAAGAAATATATTTTTTTATAACTGTTATATCTTGTCATACACAACATTTTAATGTGTGATGTCATAAAGAAATGAATAGCTTCAACATTAAGTGGTTAAGTTAATTGAAGTGTAATGGCAATATAAAGGACTATTATTTGATATATGCATACAGTAATATCTTGAAGTTACATGATAGGTGGGTTCGATGAAAATCACTTAAGTCTAATTCGCATAAGTTGGGGTACAACTTTGCATGTCAATGGCTTCATAAAATCTAACAAATTTGTCTGATGACACAATGCCTTTTTTTTTCATATGGAATTTCTTTGTAGCAATCTAACAATTTTTTTAATCCTTACTTTGTAGCTATAACTCATTCTTCATTGGAGTCTATGTTTTCTAAAATTTTTAAACTTTTCAATTGAGCTGAGACCTTCTGTCAAGCTTGCAATTGTTGTGTGCTTTTCTGGTGGAACTGGGTCTAAAGTGTCAGATACTTCAGTGGTTTTTTCTCTCACATCTCTGTGAGCTCATCAATTGTTAGCTTCTGACTATTTGAATCCAACAGCTTGTTGACATCATCATCACTGACTTCCAAATCTAATTGTCTGGCAAGATTAACGACTTCTTCTATCATGTGAGTGACATCATCAGTTTCTGGCGTTGTTTCCATCTCACTTTTGAAAAAGATGGACAAAGTTTCTTCCAGACATCACTCAATTTCTTTTTGGAAATTTCATTCCAAGATTTTCATTCCATGATTCTTATGGCATCTGAATTGTTTTCAAATGTCTTTAACAGATATCTCACTATTTTGCCTCATAACTTGTAACGCACCGTTTTCGGAAACAAAAATAGGTTACATAATAATGGGGTAAGTACCAGGCCTGGACTTTAAATAAACCAATAATTTCCACAAACCACAGACAATACTGAACAATAAAGATAAACTTTAATTCTATTAACAACAAAAATAATAATGGGGTAATTGACCCGAACAAAAGTTATCTAATTGTAAAGTAATAACCAAATCAATAATCAAAAACTTGTACGTATTTCTAATAATAAAAAAAAATTTTATCTCCTCCTCAAATATAAATATTGTACAGCCAAACGATACAATTTCCTCGAATTTATCACTGACGTTTACCACCCTGGTTACCTGAAGCTCCTTCTCGCTCTGTCGTGGATGTTCCGCTTTTAATTGTACATCCAGTGCAGCTCCGCACTGTCTTAATTTACATAGGATGACGTTCCAGGATCAGGCACCGATGCAAACTAAGTTTATTTTTTTTTCTTTTGGTCACTGGTGCTTAGGAGTTTGTCCGTAAAAAAAAGAACCCCGAAAAGAAAATAATTAAATAAAAATAACGTCCCAAAACATAAAATAACGATCGGACATTGACTCCTTTACACCCCTCCCCTCTTAAAAAAAAAGAAATAATGGTTATTTCTTTTATAGGGTTTGAAAAATATTATATACCAAAAAGGGTGCCTGTCCTGGTTCCGTAATATTGGTAATAAAGCTGTTGTTCCAGATATTTGTCGATGAGGAGGAGATTTACAGTTTCCTAACATCGATGATTGACAATAACTTGTAACCGTTATCGGTAATGTTGTTTTCCTTATTCATTTCTTAGACATCCGTTTGGCAGTCTGTCGGTAGTCTATTTTCTTTCGGGGTCGAAGTCGTCGGGGTGATGGTGACGTCTGATCAACAGTTGGAGGAGATGTGGTAGTCGTCTGTAGAGGGGCTGGTGGAACGGGTGGAAACAAGTTGTATTTCTTAAGATTCGATATATGATGTCGTCCATGTTTGGCTCCTGTAGCGGGGTCCTGTAGTTCGTAGACTAACGGCGATATCACTTTGGAAATTTCATAAGGTCCAGACCATTTCGGGGCAAATTTTGCACTAAAACGTTTGGGAGAACAAGAAATTGGATGAGTTTTTAATAATACAGGTGTACCCACCTTATATGAGAGTGGCTGCCGTCTCAGATTATAAGTTTTTTCTTGTTGGCGTTGAGCCTTTCTTATGTTTCTCTGTGCTTGTTCTAAAATCTTTTGAAGTTCGTCATATTTTTCCTCTACACTTTGAGGTTGGTTAGGCAGATTTATGAGACGATCCCAAGGAAGTGTTAATTCTCTGCCGAGGTGCAATTTCGACGGTGTAAATTTCGTAGAATCTTGTACACTGGTACGTACAGCAAGAGCTAACTTCTGGAGGTGTAGATCCCAATCCCGATGGTTTTTCTTTACATATGCTGCGATCATTCTGCCTAAGGTTCTATTCACTCGCTCCGTGAAGTTCGACTGTGGGTGATAAGGGGTAGTTAATATGTGATTTATAGCTAGTTTCTCACATACCTCACTCATAAGTCTTGAGATGAATTGGGGTCCGTTATCGGATACTAGACTTTTCGGCATGCCGTATCTGCAACAAAATTCATTAACAAAACAATTCACAACAGTAGGTGCTGTAATATCTTTTAGTGGGAATAATTCCACCCATTTGCTAAAGTAATCAACTATTACGAGCATATAGGCATTACCTCTTTTAGATCTAGGATACGGTCCTACTATGTCAATACCTACTTTCTCTCCTGGTTCTGAAGTTTTCGTACTTTGCAGGAACCCTGCAGGTTTTTGTTGTATCCATTTAGTAGTTTGGCAGGTGTGGCAGCTGGCTACATATCGTTTAATCTCCTTATTCATACCGGGCCAATAACATCTTTGCCCGATTTTTTTGACCGTTTTTCTCGAGCCGAGGTGACCTGCCGTCGGATGATCGTGTAATTCGTTTAATACTGCAGGCCTTAGTGCCTTTGGAATTACGGGTCGCGGACATCCTCTGTTGTTCTTCCTACGATGGTAATGTATTAAATCATCAATAATTTCATAGTGTCGTGACTTACCAATTAATTCGGATGCCAGCTTTGGATCTGAGGGTAAATCCCCCTCCTGCAAGTATTTATACAACTCCTTCCACTCGGCGTCGTTTCGCTGTGCCTGGATTATTTCCTCTCTATTAGTGATACTCACGATGGTTAGTAACTTCGTAGAAATATCCGTTTCCTTTACATTGTCCGCTTCGAGTGGTAAGCGAGATAAAGCATCCGGAAGCTGGTTATCTTTGCCGCCCCTGTGTCTAATAGAAAAGTTAAATTCTTGTAGGCGTAATGCCCACCTCATTAGCCTACCTGAAAGGTTTTTCGAACTCTGTAGCCATCGCAGAGCTGCGTGATCGGTAACTACCGTGAAGTCCGTCCCATCAAGGTATTCGCGGAACTTTTCCACAGCCCAAACGATGGCGAGGCATTCCAATTCGGTCGTTGTATAATTTCTCTCAGCTTTCTGAAGGGTTCGGCTTGCATAGGCTATGGGGCGGTCTTGACAGAGGACAGCTCCAAGTCCTACGGTGCTGGCATCGGTGTAGAGTACAAATGGGACGTTGGGTTCAGGTAGCTGTAAAACAGGAGCAGTTATAAGGTGCTCTTTTAATAATTGAAAGGATTTCTCACAGTCAGGACTCCAATTCCATTTGATACGTTTTCGTCGCAGACAGTACAGTGGTTCAGCTATAGTTGCATAATGCGGAATAAAGCGGCTGTACCAACTACACATACCTAAAAACGTGCTTAGCTGCTTCGTGTTGTTTGGTCGTGGGAATTTTCTGA